GACTCGCAAGGGCTCACCGAGGACCTCTCTTGCGTTACAACCAGTGGGGATCCGGCTGCGGAGAAGTCATCTCTCTCACAGGGCGATTCTCAGGTTACTGGCCTACGTTCGCCTTCTGCATCTGAACCGGAACGGGATATAGACCACCCAGCACCATCACTACCGGCTGCTCAAGGGAGAACCAGAAGCCCTGATCCTACGAGGACTTCATCTACTGCAACTGATTCGGCGTCTCTGGAAGATCGTCAAGCACCTTCCATTCTCTCATTTGGGGAACGGCAGGTCGTTACGGACAGCAACTTCCAATCAAGCACTGCCTTAGTGTCGGATACGGCTGGCAACGACGGTGAGAGTCAGTCGAATCACAGTTCGCTTCCCAGGTTTCAAACTCAGCCAGACTTCGCAACCTCGGTTGAGACGAGTTCAGAACCTGCAGCAACCCAACCACCAGCAGTAGCCACACCCACCGCATCCGGCACTTTGTCTGACGTGTTTGAGCCTCACTTCCCTGACGATAGCATCGTCCCGGAGACCTCATCATATTCAGCACAGATTGTTGGATCTATACATCACTCCCCGGCCCAGCTTGGAACGCAGACGCGCTCCAACTCCCAGTCACGCTTGCCCCCTAGCCATAGCAACGTCAGCAGTCAGGTTATACCGGGGACTAGTCCCGTACCTGTTTCTGTTTCGCAAGCAAAATCGGTACGAGCCAGATCACTCCCCGTCTTTCGAAAAGCCAAGGTTCTCAAGCCGGTTCGGGCCTCTTCTTCGCAGCCCGTCATGGATCAAACACCTGGCAGACAAAGCCATCAGGGGCTCTTGGGCCCCGAATTTGATCCTCTTTTCGGTGAAGAGTTCCACAATGCCGAGGTTGACCCGGACGCGGATGCGGAGCTTGAGCGCATGATGAACGAGAGTGTACCATCACGACCAGCGCCAATTGAGGTCCCGACGGCTGACGGTGGGGTCAACCTCGGCCTCGATCTCCAGCATCTGGGCCACCATGGGCCAGTCACAGTGGATAGAAACAATAATCAGTTTGGGAATGCGCTCGGACTTGCCGCTGATGCCCCATCACCCTTTCAGCCATCTGCTACCGAAGCATTACAGCACGAAGTTCAAGCCCACCCTCCGGGCCAGCCACACTTCGCCGCAACCATTGCTCCGTCGCAATTGACCATGTCCATCGCTCCTTCAAGCCTCAATATCACACCAGCCCCAGCACAGCAACCGGTGTCACTGCCTCTATATGAGAGTGAAGAGCAGCATCACGAGACGGTCCTCCCAGGCATTGAGTCTGGTCGTTCGTCTCTTGAGCCTAAGCAAGCCGAACACGTCCAGCATACAGACGAGCTGTCTGATGCTGAAGAAGAGCAGGCCGAGCATGGAAGCAATGAGCATATTATCACATTACCGATGTTTGCAAGCACGCGGCGAGCATACACCGAAACCCTAGACTCTCATCGGTCGCTGATGCGTCGTTATAACACGTATTTCAAGACAGACTCACTCAGTGTCCCTGATCATCAGCTGGTAGACGAGGTTGACGCCGTCTTCGCAAAGCTTCAAGCATACTGCGACCTACCTTTGTTCTTCGAAACCCTAAGCCAGCCTATGAACACTCAAGAAATGAAGAAGTACAGCACAAATACGAACACCAAATACTCGTTTGTGTACGAGCTTCTCGATCGCCTCAAACACGAGAGACTACGTATCCTCATTCTGTCGCAGCCGGGCCCCGTCTTCAACTACCTCGAGGCTATTGTGTCAGAGGTCGGGTGCAAGTACACGACGTACCTCAAGAGCCAAATGGTGACGCCTGAAGACGACTCGCAGGACCAGCCACTGCATATAGTGCTAGAGACCACAGACCAGGATGTCTCCCGCCTGCCCCGCGTAGACGCAGTCATTCTCTTCGATAACACCGCTAGGTCTCTTGATATAGCCATACCATGGTCTGTTCCCATCCTATCACTGGTGGTCACCTACTCGATCGAGCAAATCGACCTACGACTCTCCCATGATATGGATCAACTAGAGAGACGTAACGCTCTCATCCTCGTGTCATTCGAGTCTAAGAAGTTGCTCAACGTGCAAGAGTACGAATTCAACGAGAAGCCACCGCATGAGGTTGCTGAGATATTCGGCGACTTCCTTCGTCAACCGGGTGACCTGGACTACGAACCCTGCAGCATGCCTGACGAATATTTCGACGTTTACGTCGGCTCGCAAGGGACACAAAGTCGCGTCGAGAACGGACCTGACATGGTCGCAACGACAAACGACCGGAAGCGACCTTTCGACGGCGAAGATACTGCTGCAGAGACTCCGAGTAAGCGGGCACGGACGATAAAGTCATCTCTGCCAGCTCGGGTGGTCCAGCAACGGGGTTTGCAATTAATGAGCGACTTGTTGAAGGAGACCCTGGCGAGTTACGTGCCACGGCCACAAGGCCTTCCTCACACGGTGGAGATTCCGGTCGATCAGCTGGAGTGGCTTTCTGCCACAATACACCAGTTACGAGAGACATCTCAAGACAAGAATGCTGTCACAAGTAAGTCCCGGGAGCAGTTGATAAAGCTCGAGGCTGTGGTCAAGTCGCAAAACAAGACGATTATGACTCAGCAACGCAGACTAGTTGAGTCACTTCGTGAGGGCACAGCGTACGAAGAGAAGTTGCGGGTCGCTGAAGAGGAAACTGAAAAGATCCAAAAGCAGTTGGACCGGAGCAAAGCTGAGGTATCGGCTCTCCAGGAGAAGCTGAAGGCTCAGAGCCTGCCAGCTGAGCAGGACGCCGAACCCAAGATTGAAGCGGAGGTTGAACTCCAAGAGACCAAATCAAAGCTGGAAGCAGCCGAGAAGAAGGTCAAGGCTAGCAACAGCCAACTGGACTACATTCGTGGTGTATATCAGACCGCGTCTAATTCGGCGACGGAGCTGGCTCGAGAGAACAAAGAGCTCCAGACGCGCATCGCGGATCTGGAGCATCTGGCCAGCGAGAGGCTTCGCGCCATCCACGACTCGAACAAAGACAGCATCATCCGTGATCAGTCCAGGCAGCTGAGGGACGCCCAGACTATCATCGCCCACCGTGAAGATGACCTCGAACGAGCCCAGAGGGAGTTACGAACCATTAAGAATGGTCGACGAGAGACTCGCCAGACTAGCGTTCCGCGTAGCCCTCGGGTGCCCATGATGAGTCCTAGACCCAGAGGTGGTGCAACTAGTAGGGGTAATAGTCCTGCCCCTGCTGCGTTAGTTCTCGACAACGGTAGCTCGACGTCGGTCACGCCCGCGCCTGGACGACATCAGACGCCGGTGGCTAATCCGCAGATTACCCGTCTTCGTGACTAGTCCGCACGCAGAGGTGGTATCTTGGGGCGCAGAAGATCGAGGAGGCTAACGCGGACTGGATGAAATTGGTCCATACTCGAGCGTAGCACGTTACGACATCGACGAGCATTTCTGGGGTGGCGTGAGAGACTGGTGGGTGCGTTCTACTGGTCTGAGGATGCGAGCCCGTAGTATCTCTGGACGGGAGGGGCGTTCCTAGATGATTTACTTTTCTTTATGCAACAGCGATCCTTTGTTTTTATACAGATCGTCTTGTCGTTTTGCATCCTGAAGATCGGAGTTTACGGACAGACATAGTGGGTTGAACTGACGCCGGCGATACATGGCTGAGCATGGGTTGACATATTCAGAATGAGATCAGAAGCCAGTTTGACTGGGCTGCGTTATTGACATGATCCCATAGAGACCCAATCTGATCAAGACGAACACAACCTAGTCCACGTGGTTTCTCTCTCGCTTGAACCTTCCCATGTCCCCCGATCATGAATCTCTGCCCTCATAATATCTGAGTGATCCTTGCAATCCTCAATTACTGAGCCATCCTCGCTCCTCTGATGTACACCGTTGTCCTCAGTCTGTCCTTGGTCGTTCTGGTTGCGGGCTGGATAACATGTCATCTAACCGGGCATCACCAGTCTGTGTTGTTGGCTCGACAGCACCGGCGGCGACGTTTGGCGTGGGAAGGGCTAAGATCTGTGTTGCACATGTGGCTAACAGGAATAGCAGGCCGTTAAACTTCATTATGATTTTGATGGACAAGTAAGATGTGACCGGCACGATGAAGGATAATAGAGAGAGCACAGCTGGAACACCGTTAATTATCGTCCACAACAGGGTGCTTTGCATTCGGGCTTACCTCTATGCAAAGAACGAAGGAAAACACACGGATTGGAGTCTACCAGAGACGTGAAGATAAGAATCAGACCTAAGCAATGCCGAGAGATGACCCAAGAGGAAGACTATATGCAACCATGGGGAGTTGAGGCTACACTTGTAGTCTTTTCATGCACAGAATTCTCAATCCCTGATGGTGATCCCCAAGCAGCCAAGAGTTGATACTACTAGCTCAGACATTCATAGGTCGCAGTAGGAGTCCCTGAGACAGGCGCGACAGCCCTACCATGACGGCTATTGTTGCCGGCCTTCACCGTCAAAGTCAAGATAGGTAGCATTACAGTAAAGAAAAAGCCCTGTTGCCAACTGCTGATTCGGGAAGGGAACCAATTGGGCCAAGAACTATAAGAAGAAGACTGCGTCGTGTGCCTCTTTTCCGTTATAAGCCCGAAACACAGGATGAAACAACGGTTACGGCATCACCTTGGCATCTCCACGGCACGGCAGGATTTGCCGGGTATCGGCAATCGTTTGCCGGTATTTAGCTGGGCATTAATAGAGAAAGTATGATAGACTTCGATTCAGAACTTGCATTGTCTTGCTTGGGAAAAATTGAAGTTTGGGGTCGCATCTGTTAAGCGCACAACGTCGATATGTGGTTTCCTGTGCTCTAAACTGTTATAATTCGACTTTCACCACGAGGGAAAAATACTGGAGAGTCTAATAAGCTTTGGAGCGAGCGGTACCTCCATGTTGATAGACTTTGTAAGGGTGAAAGTTACTGCATAGAAGAAAAAGAAAAAGAAATGGGGCTCTTCCGGGGATCGAACCCGGGGCCTCCTGCATGAGTGCACCCAAAGCAGGAATCATACCTCTAGACCAAAGAGCCGATTTTATGAAATTTAGACTGGAATTAATGAACTATAAACTATTGCTCTTTGCTCCTCATCAAAATGCTAGACCAGGAGGGCAAGTAAAGGGTTAAATAGTGCTCCGTGTACGGAAACACCTTTGAACATGAAAGTGTATAGTCAAGGAATGAAATCGGTGTCAACGATGTACGCCTACCTGCTTTGGGTTAGCATCCATCTGTAGGAAGTCCCGGGTTCAATCAACAACGGTGCGGCTCCAATACTTTTGACCTTTTTGTCTTCTCTCTGGCTGGTGACCAGCGTCTTACTGGAAACCCATTTTGAGCAGAGAGCGAGACTAGCCTGTCAAGTTTGCAGGTGTTTGGTTCATGATCATTGTCGTCGTGAGTTCTTCAGCGGTTTCGGCGCACAGAATAGGCATGGCGTAGCTGACTGCCGGCGTTCCGAACGGGGAATTCATTAGCCTCGTTATCCCCGGGGCGGGGTGGCCTATTTCCACTTTGGTGCATCGACAGCCGAAGATAAGGGCAGTAGCTTCAATGGCGACATATTGTCAACGGGGGAGAAGACCGATCGGAGTGAAGTAAAAGCTAACCTGATTTTGTAATCATCGCATAGTGGTGAACATCTTTTTTAGTTTCTTCAGTGTTGTTTTGATTGTCCTCTTCGCGTGCATCTAGTCTGTGACACCCCTTTTTGCATGTCTAGACGTATTACTCACAACCGTCAGTGAGTAAGCAGATCATGGATCCGGAACCAGCTACCGCGCTGCCGTCACACAACGGCCAGCCCTTCGGGGTTGGAGCTGATGAGCAGACACCCCTGCTCCGCGACGACATCACCAAACCCACAGACGGCACATCCTCACCCACACAAGATGGTGATACAGGCGAAGCCGTCCTCCTTGCCGCTCCTACCTCCGCAACCCGTCTCTGGATCATCCTAGGGACAGCCTACGTTGGCGTGTTCTTTGGCGCTATCGATGCCTCCATCATAGCCACGCTTTCCGGTCCTATCGCTTCAGAGTTCCATTCCTTGTCCCTCCTCTCATGGCTGGCTACTGCGTATCTCATCGCCAATGCGGCGTGTCAGCCATTGAGCGGGAGATTGACGGATATCTTTGGTCGTGGGCCGGGGTTGGTGTTTAGCAACCTCATGTTTGCAGCGGGGAATCTCATCTGTGGTGTTAGCCAGGGGGAGGGGACGATGATCTTCGGCAGAGTGGTTGCTGGCATAGGTGGTGGCGGCTTGATGAGTATCAGTACGTTTTTGGCAAGTGATTTGGTGCCGCTGCGGAAGAGGGGAATTGTGCAAGGGTTGGGGAATATTGCCTATGGGTGAGTAACTGTGACCGCCTGGATGAGGTAGAAGATGGTGTACTGATTGCGGAACAGATCCGGTGCCATGCTGGGCGGCGTCTTTGGCGGAGTGATCAACGACTTTTCCTCGTGGGGCTGGCGTTTGGCTTTCCTAGTGCAGGTTCCGGTTGTTGTCGTCTCCGCCGTCTTGGTGTTCTTCCTTGTTCACGTCCCGCCAAAGGTCTCTAACAAGTCCCTCGTGTCTCGAATCGACTTCACGGGCGCCTTCCTCATCATCTCCTTCTTGGTTGTCCTGCTCCTTGGTCTCAACTCGGGCGGCAACCTGGTACCCTGGAGCAATCCTCTCGTTCTGGCATCCATCCCTGTATCTGTCGCCATTCTGGGTGCACTGATCTGGTGGGAAGCTGGCGCCAAACAACCCATCATTCCCGTGAGATTGTTGGTTGATCGGACCATCTTGGCGGCTTGTATCACGAATCTGGTCTGCACGATGGTCATCATGATGGCTATCTTCTACGTGCCACTGTACATGCAGGTGCTGGGATATTCCTCCACCCAGGCTGGTCTGCGTATCCTTGCCTCCCCGCTCGGCGTATGCTTTTCTTCCGTGGGCAGCGGATACATCATGAAACACACGGGACGCTACGTCGGACTCGGCATCGCGGTTGTGGTTATACAGACGGTCGGCTGTATCATTCTGTCTTTCCTGGATTCTAACTCTGCCTCCTGGATTCCTTTTGTAGGGATGATGCTGGCCGGTGCCGGATACGGTGGCATGTTGACTGTCACCCTTTTGGCATGCATAGCCGCGGTCGACCACGCACATCAAGCGGTCATTACTTCTGCCACCTACGCCTTTAGATCCGTGGGTGCTACCGTGGGCATCACGGTTGCCAGCACGGTATATCAGAACATCTTGAAGAAGAAGCTGTGGGAGAGGTTTGGGGATCTGCCGGGTGCCGCTGAACAAATCGCCAAAATCAGGGACGATTTGGACGAGTTGAAGCATCTGCCTGCTGGTTGGTATGAGGGTGTGATAAAGAGTTTCATGGAGGCTTTCAGGGGGGTTTGGTTGACGGCGTTGGGGCTAAGCCTGGTTGGTCTGGTGATGACAGCGCTGATGAGGCATCATAAGCTCCACTCCAGTCTGGATAGACAGGAGGAGAATGACGAAGAGTGAAGGGGTATTGTGGCGACCGACGGAACCTGGAAGAACGCAAAGTGTGGATCAGAGTTCTCGTCGTGGTTGATAATCTGGAGCTGACCCAGATGTACATTATCCTGTCGGCACGGCAATCACGACTCAACGGTGAGTGTACGTGGCTGTGTGTTGATTTGGGGAACTGCCCTCTGGAACCTTAGAAAGATAGAGCCAGTTTGACATCCTCAGCAGGAGCGTTCTTGAGGTGGCAAGGTACCTTCCAGGTTGGATTTAATCCTCGGCTCCATCTTTCCCCCATTGGGATATTAGAAATTCGCAATCAGACATTCATCATCTTGTTCCCACTGCTCTTCTTGACTGCATCTTTCTTCCTCATAGTCTCAGCCAAATCTGGATCTCATTGAATCATCACTTGCCCACACAAGATAACAGCACTTGCAGCCCACAACATGGCCGACGATGGTCCGAAGCATACAAGTGAGAACGCTACTACGGCGCCACAGGCTTCCGGTTCCAGCGTCTCTCCCTTGCCAGTAATATACGAACTGTCTCCTCTGGAGCAGAGCATGAAGCGAACTTACATCAAGCTCATTCTTTGTTTCCCTCTCTACATTGATCATGCCTCCACGGATGCAAACCGGTTGGCGCCTATGCTATCGAGCGTCACTAAGGGGTACCTTTTCGCCCTGAATCGTTGGCCATTTTTGACGGGAACGATCTGCCCTCACTCGGACCCAGAACTACGGGCTTTGGGCATGCTCCAAATAGACCGCACGACCGTTGCGGATCCAGATCAACTCATTGATGCCGGGCCTCATGTCGCTCGTCCAGCTGGTTATAGGGACATCTCCAGCGTTTGGATCAAGGGCTCTGCCCAACCGGAGGATGATCCAAATACGCCCCGACCCTCTGTTACCTTGAGAATATCCTCCATCCTTGGGGGAGACCATGGCAGCAGATTACTCTTAGGCTTTGAGTTCCATCGTGCCGTCTTTGATGCGACGTCGATCAACATGTTCTTGCGACACTTGGCAAAGGGGTGCTTCAAAAAGGCAAAGGTCAATTCCTTGGGCAAGTGTTTTGACACTCATTGACCACCTCAAGCTCAACGTCATCTTTTACTATATTGGCTCATAGCGGCTGATGCTACGTACCTGTCACATCATGTGGAAAACTCTGGACACATGTCAGACTAACATGGAACAAGGTGCCGCGGATATACCCTCGAAAGCTGATGACCGCGTACGCCGGTTGCTGTTAAGGGCTTCTCCGACGTCATCGGTTGACAACGTGAAATACTGGACAATGTCCGCCACGATGCGGAAGTTTTACGAAGAGAACATCGGGTCTGCTCAAGCTCTTGCTAATGTTGTTGCTGAGAAATTTGGTTTGTTACTGCCTGCCCAAGATCGTGCGTGCAACGTCAGCTTATAGTTCTTTAAGGTCCGCAACAAACCAGCACACCTACTGCGGTACCGGGACGCTCCTCCGTGGAGGCAGATCAAGGCAACGCCCCAATCTCCGTTACAGCCTCAACGCAGGGTTCTCATCGTCTTCTTGATTTGTACAATGTATTTCGAGCATATCACATGGAGCAGCCCGAAGATGGCTTGGCCAACCTTCCAGAATACTCAGTCCACGATGCCGGTAGTTCATCTTCAGCTCAAGACCCAGCCACGGACACGATACTGGTCCATGCTATTGTCAAACTCCTCCAAGAATCACTGGTATATCTCAAGCAGCTAGCTACACCCAATCTCGAAAATGCGGAGCCGCAAGCGAGACTTCAAACTCGCGCTCCATGGGTCTCAACGACGGACTGTGTCGGCGCCCTGGTCTAGGTCTCCATTATGCGCGCCCGAGCAGCACGACTCCCGCCCAACGCTGACACCAGGTTCACCACGTCTGTTGATGCACGGAGTGAACTGCTCAAATCACGACCCTATGAATATTTCGGCAACCTGAGCGTACCCGTCGTGGCCACATGTCCGATTGACGTCCTGTTAAAAGGCCCCTTCCTGTTGAGTATCACCCTTTCCTTAGGCTGTTGCTGCTCTGGTAACCCTCAGCTGATGATGTCTCAGAAGTTCAAAGACTAGTGTGGCGCCCGAGGACCGACAGGCAGGTCTCGTAAATATTGGTTATACTGTTGCGGAAGCGGCGTCCCGGATCCGCATTGCCATCCAGCAGACCACCGAAGTTCAACTCGTCCAACGTCTGGCTTTGACCCCCCAACAGATATCCATAATACGGAAGACCGGAGCTTACGACCGTGCAGCCGACACTGCCAATACAGGCGTGGAGTTCACCTGCCTACGGGACATGCTGGACAAGCCCGACTTTATGTTCGGCATACCAAACACTTGCCCGCCTCACGCAAAGTTTCGGGGGTCTTTTCCCTACGACGTCTTCGAGGAGCCCCCGCCCGAGGAAGGCACCGTCAGGATCCTCCCACCTGGCGCTGGGCCCAACCCTCCATGGGAGGTGTTTCTGACATTGCGGGCCTCGGAGATGGAGTACGTCAGGACACGGACTG